GGTGCTTCCCTAATAAATTCCATAATCTGTGAGTTCTGTGTGGCCACTGCAGCAAATTATCAAACCCAGGAGAGAGGTGGTGGGTGCTTTGGAAGGAACGGTTGGAGAAAGGGCTGGAGGGAGGCAGCATGTCCAGCCTTGCAGTAATAGGCCTTGGGCTATTGATGGTGATTCTGCCTTCCTCTTGTGGAATTAGAAGAGGTCAGAACATGTGGCCTCTTTACCCTTTTTGCAATGCCCCATAGGGTTTCCAAAGCTATAAATCTGTTTCTTTAAAGGTTTGCAGCCTTGGAAACCCTATGAGGCAGTCTACTCTGTCCTAAAGTGTTTCTATGAGTCAGAATCAATTCAAAGGAATGGGTTTGGTTTTCTCTAAGCCATTCTGATTGATTAAATAAATATCATTACTCAAACTTTTTAGAATACTCTCTACTAAAGGGGCTCCTGGGAATGGAAGATTGCCAGTAAACCATGGGCAGAGTCATGGCTCTAAGTGTCCAGAGGACAGAAACTTCTCTACATTCTCCTTCCAGTAGCCATTGTCTACAACTTGCTTCCTAAAGTAAAACTAAAAGCCAAAATTCTTTGTGGATTTGATTCTCTAATCTTTAATACACCTTCAGCTCCTTAGCAGGGACACAGTTTTACAGTCAGCAACACATCAGCTGGGGTGCACTATCACAGAAATTAAACAATTCTGCCTCTTACCAGTTCGGCTTCCAGTGCTTTTATTTTGCTTTCATATGCAGCTTTTTGAGAAGAAAGCTCTTGTTGAGCCATTTCTTTTGCAATCTGGATTCCTTGCATCATTTCTTCCTTTGCTTTCAATCGTGCCTCTTCTATTTCTGCTTCAAGTCTATAAAGGAGCAAAATATTTACAGGATATATAGCCAAGAATTCATTATACACAATTACAGCTTTTAATCATATTAAAATGGTTGCCATTTATTCTCAAAACATAATTTCTCACATTCTTTCAACAATGTCCTTAAATTTTCATTAGCTACAGGGCTATTTATGCACAAAGCCAAAACCTAACCTACTGCCATTGTGTTAACTCTAACTCATGGTGACCCTAGAGGATAAAGTACAACTGCCCCACAGTTTCCAAGGCTATAATCTTTATAGAAGCAAACTGTCTCATCTTTCTCCCATAGAGAGAAAGCTTCACCCAGAGCTGGTGGGTTTGAACCACTGACCTTTTGGTTAGCAGCCCACTGATTAACCACTGTGTCACCAGGGCTCTTTAAATATACACAAACAAAGAAAATATAAAACAATGAAAAGTTGCTAATTTCTAATTTTTTTATTATTGCAGATGTCTGATATTCAAGTAAATTTCTAATGCTTAATGAAAATAAATTATATAAAAATATGCTGTGTTAAATACTGCAGTAAGTAGTCATTAACTTTACAATAAATATAAAAATACATATTTAATGTCAAACTTTATGCTGACTGAAATAAACTTTATGCTGTATGAAGATTATATTTCATATATCAACTTTCAATTCATCTTCAGGTCATAGCTTAGGAAAATACTAAAATGACTCCAAAGCACATGATAAGATGGCTGATAAAGCAGAGATTATACCTACATTTTCAACTACTGTAATTTGACATTTTGGTAAGTCAAAATATTCAATCATTTGAAAGGAACTATACAGAAGTGGACTAGGCACCAACTAATAGAAAAACCTGAAAGAAAACAATGAGTATAGAGACATTGGGAGCTGCGGTCAGTCAGCTACTCTGACGGGACCAACAGCCTGAATATTTCCAAATGGTGTTGGGACCTGAAAATTGACCTAAAGATCAGCCCTGGCCACCAAGGGCTGTGGGGATAACTGTGCTAGTGGCCTATGACTAGGAAGGGAAACAGCAAGGAGGGAGACAACCTATGCTGTCAACTTTCCACTGTCTGGAGGGTGCAGTCATTTTGACTGTTTACATGAGGCAGCCATTTTGGATATTTAAAGTGATCAAGAGTGCAGCCATTTTGAATGTTTACAAGTGGTGGCCATTTTGGATATTTAAAGTTACCGAGGGTGCAGGTATTTTTAATCTTTACAAGTGGCAACCATTTTGAATTTTAAAGTGATAGCATTCTCGTTCTAATACCAGGGACCTAAGAATAGGCTCTGTTTGCCAAGGTTGGCAGGGACATACAAAAGGCTGACAACAGGAAAGGAGACAGGTGGTGAGTGTATAAATTCTGTCAACTAGTAAAAAGAGGAGCACAGCACAGTACCATGCTTGCATAGATAACATACAAAGAAAACAAAAATCAAGGGAAAGTCACTCCAACATACAATCACCAATTAAATATAAACACAAAAACGTCACAATGCCTCAGAGACAAGAGAGCATCACAGTCCACACAAAAAAGCAAGGGACCAGGATACAGACCCAAAACACATCCCTGAGGAATATGTAGCATTGGAACTCCCTGATAAGGAATTCAAAAGAATTATATTTAGATATCTTCAACGAACTGAGAGACAGATCAAGGAAAACACAGACAAAACCCTAGAAGAATTTCAGAAGAAAATACAAGAACAGAATGACAAAATAAATGAAAAATTAGAAATGATACAAAATCTACAGATAGAAATCAGAAGATTACTACAAAATTGTCAGAAATAGATAACACATTGAAAGGGCAAAGGAGTAGAATTGATGCAATGGAAGACAGAATTAATGAGATTGAAGGCAAATACCTACATACTTCTTTGCAAAGGGATCAATCAGAAAAGAGATTAGAACAAAATGAAGAAAGCCTAAGGTTCATGCGGGATACCATCAAAAGGAATAACCTACGTGTCATTGGAATTCCAGAACAGGAACAGAAAAATAGAACCACTGAGAAAAATGTCCAAGATTTTCTGGAAAAGAACTTCCCTGATATGATGAAAGATGAGAATATATCCATTCAGAAAGTACAACAAACCCCAAACAGGATAGACCCCAAAAGAAAATCACCAAGACATATCATCATCAAACTCACCAAAACCAAAGACAAAGAAAGAATCCTAAAAGCAGCATAGGAAAAACAAAAAGTTACCTACAAGGGGTAACCAATAAGACTAAGCTCGGATTTCTCAACAGAAACTATGCAGGCAAGAAGACAATGGGATAAACCCCGAAAGAGAAAAATTTCCAACCAAAAATTATATACCCAGCAAAACTGTCCTTCAAATATGATGGTGAAATTAGGACACTTCCAGATAAGCAGAAATTGAGGGAATTTGTTAAAACCAGACCAACCTTACAAGAGATGCTAAAGGGAGCCCTTTGGACAGAGAAGCAACAACAGCCAACAACAACTGACCATTAACACACATGATGACATAACCCAGAAACCAACCCAGCTATGGAAGTATCCAAAGTAAATAAGCCTACAAGATTGTAAACAAGGAACCAGCAATATCAATTGAAAAATGAGGACAAGTGCAAACCAAAAAGAGAAAAAACTGTGTTGTTACAGAACTTCTAGATGGTAGGGATGTCAAGACACCTACAAGGTAGAATGGACTGTTCCAAACTTGGGAAGAAAACTATAAATCACAGGGTAACCTCAAGGAAAAATGATAAACCTTCACATCAAAATAAAAAAGAGGACCAGCACAAATATTTAGCAAATATAAAAGAATAGCAACAGAGGAAATGACAAGATTCATAAACAAAATGAGTTCAGCATAGAAAATTATACGGAACAAAGAAATCGACACCACAAAAAAGCACCTAACAAAAATGACAGCAACAAATTCATATTTGCTGATAATTACATATCTGGCAAGGGACTTATCTCTGAGATTTATAGAAAACTCCAATGCCTCAACACCAGAGGAATTAACAATCCAATTGAAAAATGGGCTGAAGGCATGAATAGACACTTCACCAAGAAGGATATTCAGGTAGCCAGCTAATACATGAAGAGATGCTCATGATCATTGGCCATCAGGGAGATGCAAATCAAAACAACAATGAGATACCGTCTCACTCCAGCACTGATGGCAAGGTTGAACGAGACAGAAAATAACAAATGTTGGCGGGACTGTGGAGAGATTGGGACTCTCATACACTGCTGGTGGGACTGTGAAGTGATACAACCACTGTGGAAAGCAATATGGTGATTCCTTAGAAAGTTGTAATTAGAGATACCATTTGACCCAGCCATTCCATTACTAGCTAAATATCCTAAAGAAGTGAGAGCCAGGACAAGAACAGACATATGCACACCCATGTTCATCGTAGGAGCTCTGGTAGCATAGTGCCTAAGGCACTTGACTGCTAACCAGGAGGCTGGCGGTTCAAACCCACCAGCAGCTCCTCGGAAGGAAGGTTGGGCAATCCTACTTCCGTAGTGATAACTGCCTCGGAAACCCAAGGAGGGGTCGCTAGGAGTCGGGGCCGAATCGATGGCAAATAACAACAACAACAACATGTTCATCGTAGCACTATTTACAATAGCAAAAAGATGGAAACAACCTACATGCCTACAGCAGTGTAAGAGTGGATGACCAAACTTTGGTACATACACATAATGGAATGCTATGCTGCACTGAAGAATAATGTAGAGCTTGCAAAACACTGCATAATGTGGATGAACTTGGAGGACATTATGCTGAGTGAAATAAGTCAATCACAGAAGGACAAATATAGTATTAGTTCATTGTTGTGGAGGGTGTCAAGGAAAGGTTTATATATGGAGGGAAACTTTCTTTGTTGGATGCCAGGGGTGGGAGGGAGAGGAAGGGAATACGGGAAAAAAAAAAAAAAAAAAAAGCATTGACCCATGGGGGAAAAAAATATTCAATCAGCTTTGTCATCTCTCAATATACAGATAAAACACTAAAAAGTTTCTTTCCTCCCAATAAGCTCAATGCTTAGCAAATACATTACATAGAAGTTTCCATTCTCAATTTTACTGGAACAAGAATAAGAACACCAAAAAAAAAAAAAAAAAAAGGAGGGCAAAAGCAGGTTCAGGCTTTTAAAAGGTGACAAAACCAGGCTAATTAAGCCATACTAGTCATTTTTGATTCCTCTTCCCTTTACCCTCTCTAGTTGCCACAGCTTGTCGTTTTTACCTACTTAATAGTTCTTCTAATTTCTCCTATCCAATCACACGATACTTATCTTACTTCTACAGTCTCTTAATTTGTTTTGAAGTCTCTAACCTTGCTCTAACTCTAATCTATTTTCCAGACTTGAGTCATGGTGATCTTTCTAAAACTATGATTCAGATCATGTCTGTCTCCTTAAAGTTCCTTAATGGTCCCCATACCCTTAAAGATAAAGTCTAAACTCTTTAGTGTTTTATTTATCTATACTTTATGAGGATACTGCCAAAGTCAAAAATTCTACAATATTGCATGAGCTAAAACTGAGGCAAAAGAAGATGACAAAAACAAAGATACATTCTCTATTACAGATTGAATTGTGTCCCCAAAAACATGTATTATAAATCCTAACTCTTATACCTGTGGAAAAGGAGCCCTGATGGCACAGTGATAAGCGCTCAGTTGCTAACTGAAAGGCTGGTGGTTAGAACTCACCAGCCGCTCTGTGGGAGAAAGATGTGGTAAGAGTCTGCTTCCGTAAAAAGTTCTAGCCTTGAAAATCCTATAGGGCAGTTCTACTCTGTCCTTTAGGGTCACTATGAGTCAGAATTAACTCCATGGCAGTAGGCAGTCAGCAGCACAATAAGAAATGTTCCTGGTTAATTTGACAAAGAATGATGTTGACTGCTACTAGTCTTCAGTAAGGAGCTCTAGTAGCATAGTGCCTAAGGCACCTGACTGCTAACCAGAAGGCTGGCTGTTCAAACCCATCAGCCACTCCTCGGAAGGAAGGTTGGGCAATCTACATCCATAGAAATATTGCCTCAGAAACCCAAGGAGGGGTCGTTAAGAGTTGGGTCCGACTCAACAGCACATAACAACAACAGTCTTTAGTAGGAATTCATCATCTGGTAGTACAATGGTTAAGTGCTCAGCTGCTAATCAAGAGGTCCTTGGTTTGAACCCACAAGTTATTCTGTGGAAGAAAAATGTGGCAGTCTACTTCTGTAAAGATTACAGCCTTGGAAATTCTATGGGGAAGTCTTCTCCGATGTTAGGAATCAGAATCAACCCAACCGCAATGAGGTGGGGTGTTTTTTTTTTTTTTTTTTTTTTGCGGTGGGGAGTATTACTAAAAGAAGGAATGAAAAAATGCAAAACTTGAGACAAAGACGTACCAGGTGCTTGCAAAATTGACCTACATTACTTAATGCATTCATTGTACCAAGAAAAGAGATTAAATTACCACAAACCAGCACTCAAAGAGTTAACTACTAGACACCAGTACAATGTGATTAACTCTGCTGCTGACCTCTCCCACATACTTACTATTTCATAGCATCAATAATACTTACTGTGATCTCTGTGCCATGAGCAGCTCATTTTTTGCAAATTCAAAGTCTTTTGGACCCTCATTTATAAGAGTATCTCTACAGGATGGTCTTTTCCCTTTCTGGACTTCTACTGGATGATTAAATCTAAAATAATGATCTCCTCCAAGAATTACACGATCACCCTAAAGCACACACACAAAAAATTAATAATTGAGGTAAGTTTGAATGAAAAAAAAATACATAGGACAAATCCTTATGTCCAATAATTCAATAGGCTAGTATTACTTACAATAAACATAAAAAATCATAGTAATAACATTTATTAAGTACTTTCTATATAGCAAGCACCACAGTAAGCACTTTATATATGTCACCTCATTTAAGGCTCACAAGATGAGAACCCCATGAAATTCATATCATCATCACAATTTTAGGAACAAGCAAATTAAAGAACAGAGTTTAATGAAAATAATAACAAGTATTTGTTGCAGACACTGTGCTAAAAGCTATACATGAATTATTTCATCTAATCTTCCCAGCAAACCTAAAAGGTAGGAAGCCTCTATTTGCCTCTGTAATTATTAATAATTCTTTCAAAAGTGTCCTAATTTGGGAACTATTAAACAATCATCCTAGCTCAATAATTTGTAAAGAGTCATATTGTTGTGTGCTGTCAATTCCGGCTGATGGTGACCCCATAGCGTTTTCTAGGCTATAATCTTTATGGGAGCAGATTACCGGGTCTAGTGGATTTGAACCACTGACCTCTTTATTATCAGCCAAGTGTTTAACCACTGTATCACCAGAGTTCCTTTCTAAAGGTCATGCCTGATTTCAAAGCCCAGCTCTTTACTCCATGGAATGTTGCTGTCAGTGGTCTGCTCTTCAGGTGTGGTTCATAGAAATATAACATAAAGGAAGATAGGTTCTGAATTAGTAGAGAAGACAATTTTAGAACTAGAAAAGTCCTTAATCTAGTTCAACTCTCATATCTTATAGAGGAGAAAATTGGGACTCAAAGAAATTAAATTAATTCAAGGTCAAACAGTTTCTTTTATTTTAGTAAAAAGTCAACTTACATGATGTAATACTGTGGGTTCCAAAATATGTTTTCCATTTACGTAAGTCTTTGCTTCCCCAACTGGGATAATACTCACTGTTCCATCAACATTTTTGATAGTACTGTAAAGATAAGAAGCACGTTGTTAACAATTACAGGACACATTAAAAATATGAAGCAAGCAAAGTAAGATAATCCTGCTGGGGTTACTCCTTTGGTATTAAGGTTCATGCCAATTTGTTTCAACAATAATTTAAAATTATTTTATTTTGCTCCCAGTAGATTTTGAAGTTTTGGTAAAACTTAAATTAAATTTTTTTAAAAGCCTGGCCTCTCTAAGCTACATTTGAAACAATTATATTCTATGTATTTTGATTACAACAACTTTGAAAGAAAATACCAACTCCTTTTCCCTAAAATGGAGGAAAAAAAAAAAACACAGAAAAAGTTCAAGGGAAAAAGTTTTGGTTACCTATGAATGGTACAGTTTTAAATGTTTTTGTATCTTCCTTTTCCATGTTTCTGGTTTTATATATGAGCTTTAATAATGGAAAAAACAAAAGTAAAATGAGATTACAAGGTTGTAGACAGGGAACCAGAGATAGCAATTGGCAAGTGAGGACAACTACAAACAAAAAGAGGGAAAAGACTG